ACCCTGTTTACATGCCTGGAGGCTGTGGCAAAGTCCTGGGGCTATAAAGGTTTGTAAACCCCATCTTTGGGTCTGTCCTGGTCTCATCAGGGACCGGGCACCCAGCTTGTGGGCATGGAGCTGGTGTGTGGAGCCCTGGGTAAGTCAGGAGCCCGCCGGGTAAGGCGTCTGTGTGCTCATGTGCTGCGCCCCCGTGTCTGGCACCGGCCGGCCCAGAGCGCAGGTCCGGGGACGCGGCTAATGATCTGACGGGACACCAGGAAATACTGGGCATCCCTCCTGCTCCATGCCCAGTCCGCCTGCCTGCCTGCCTTCTGCGCCCCCCGACACACGCGCGCGCACACACACGCACACAAACAGGTGCACGCACACACAGGTACACACACACTACACACACATACACACACACTACACACATACACAGATGCACACACAGGTGTACACACACATACACACGTGCACACACACAACACACACACACGCACACAGGTGCACACATGCACTCTGCCACTCCCAGTGGAATTCGTCCCTTGTCAAGTCTTAGAGCACAGTGAACAGGAGGTCTGTGTTGGGGTGGCTGTCTTGATGTCACTGTGCCTGGGACATGTGGCTCCATTTTCCTGTCATCAAATACACAAAGTCCTCAGTAAGGATTCTGCACCCTGACGTGTCCATGGGGACTTGGTGTGAAGTGCCCGGGCCCTGCCTTTCCCGGCTCCCCTGATGGACCTGAATCCTCAGGGCTCCTGAGCCTGAGGGCAGACAGACCCCGAGAGGGCCGCGTGTGCTGGGATGCTCACGTAGGGGGGAAATGGGACAGAGACAGGGGCTCTAGCCGGGCTGTTCCAGCTGGAACAGCACTGGAGTGAGCTCTCAGCAGTGTCACAGTCACACCCGGTGGAGGCGCCTTTACCTCTTCGGGTCTGCTCAGAGCATGGCCCTCAGGACCCGTGATGCCCATCTCTAAGATCCGCTTTTGTTCCTGTAAGACAAGAACAAGTGAGTCAGTGATAACACGAGGTCACAGTGGGACAGGCCGATCCTCCAACCCCGGTTAGATAGATGGGGCAGCCGAGGGGTCTAGGGGCTGGGCGTGTGATCCAGAGCGTCTTTGCTCCCTCCGCGACACCTGCCCACCTTCCCCCTCTGCAACCCTGGAGAGCCACCTCCACACCTGCTCCATTCAACCCCCTGGGACCAGTGAGAGGAAGCAGGGTTATAAGAAATGAGCTTCAAAGACCACCCACCACTCTTCCAATTCCCAAGTCTCTGCTGCAGAGCAAGAGAGAGGGAAGACAGGTGGGACTTGGGTATCACATGGATGCGAAAATCAAACAGCCCTGCACTGGGAGTTCAGCTCCAGAACTGACCATCTCTGCGACTTTGGGCGAGTTGGCCAAACTCTGGGCCTCAATCTTCTCTCTGTCACACTAACAGCAGAGCCCACATGCCAGAATGGCTGTAACGAATCACTGAGGTGGCGGATGTGGGATGCTCACGCGATACCAGGGGGATAGTGAGAGCTCGCTAACCGTCAGCCAGCTCTCATCTTCTCGACAGTCGCTTCCACTTCCTTGCACCTGTCTGTCTAGCAGGAAACCGCTACCTTCAGCTTTTCACATAAATGAAATGGTTCCCTGAGCCCATGGCCTAGATTCAATCTATTCGCTCCAAGGCTCCAAGGGGGTCCCCTCCCCAGGAGAACATTCATGTCTCCAAAATAATCTTTTCACGTTGCCCAGATGTCAGCTGTGTTGCTGCTAATTTTAACTTCTGCCGTTTCGGTAGCATCATTCTTGAACACATCCCTACGAGGAGCCCCAGGCACTATCAGCCGTGAAAAGGAATTGTAATTTCCACTGTGCGTTTATGGTTATGAAGCTTGAGTTTATTCTAAGAACGTAAGCTAGAAACGATTTCAAGATCTAACAGCTGGGGTGGATTTAAGTAAAGAATGGAATCATGTCAGCTATTGAAGACGGTGTTTACAAAGCATTTTTGTAAACTGTTTACAAAAAGATTTATGATATGGAGACAACCCTGTGAAAGACTGTTCAAGTGGCAGTTACTATTTCTGTCAGAAGGAAAAGAAGGAGAAGCATGGAGAGAGGATGAACGATGATACAGTGAGGAAAACCCACAGCACAAAGACTAAAACAGGCTTTGGCGTGAAAGGTGCACTGCCTCACGCCTTCTGAAACTCCACGAAACTGACAGAAATGGTACAAAAGAACCAACAGAAACACAGCTTTGGAAGCTGGGAAGCAGATCACAACAGGAACAGCTTTACTGGAGCTGAGAAAGCTCAATCTTAGGCTGGCAGCCAGGAAGCTACGAGGTCCCTGAACGCTTAAGAACTGGGGGCTCCGAACTCAACCTCCCACACACTGCTGGTGGGACCCAGGCCGGTACACCCTGGAAAAGTGTGTGGCACTGACTGCGAAAACGGAATATACGCACACCCACAACCCAGGAGTCCCGCTCCCAGGAATTTACTAACGGAGATGCTCGAGGAAGCTCCACACACAACAGTCCCAAATCTGAAACTATCCAAACGTCTGTCAGCTGGAGAATAAGTTGTGACATCACCGACACCACTATGAGAAAGGAAAACACTATTGTTCCATGTAGCAATGGGGATGACTCTCACAGACCTAGGTTTTGTTTTTTTAAATAATTTGCCCTTTATTTTCATTTATTTGGGGGGGTTAATTAGGTCTATTTATTTATTTATTTTTAGTGGAGGTACTGGGGATTGAACCCAGGACCTCGTGCATGCTAAGCACACGCTCTGTCGTTGAGCTATGCCCTCCCCGAGACCTAGTTTTGAACAAAAGAAGCCAGACTTAAAAGAGTGCATATCGTATGGTTCTGGGTTTATGAAGTTCAAAACCAAGCAAACCTAAGGTATGTGTGGAAGGCAGCTTCTAAGAGGCTCCCAGCAAGCCAGCCTTTCCTTGCATATGGGCTGGACCCAGCACCTTGCTTCCAGTGATCAACACGAGGAAAGAGATGGGTGCCATCTCTGAGGTTAGGTTACAAAAAGACTCTCGCGTCCCCTCGCCCACCCTCTCTTGCTCTCTCACTTTGTCCTTTGGAGGGAAGCCAGCTGCCAGCTGCCCACATGGCAGGGGACCAAGGGAGCCACTGCCCAACAGCCAGCGAAGAACAGAAGCTGTCAGTCTGATGGCTTGCAAGGAACTGAATCCAGAAAGCCACCATCTGAGGGAGGCTGGGAAGGAATCCTGCCCTGGTCCAGCCTGACACCTTCACTGCAGCCATGAGAGTCCCTGAGCCCAAAGACCCAGCCGAGCCACACCTGGACCCCCAACCCACAGGCCCATGATGTAGTAAACATGTATCATTTTAAGATGCTACGTTTGGGGGCTAACTTGTTACACAGCCATGGAGAACTAATACAGATTTTGGTGTTCAGAAGTAGGGTGCTACCATAGCAACTTCTTAAAAATGTGGGAATGTCTTTGGCACCAGGCAGTGGATGGAGGCTGGAAGAATTTCAAGGAGCGTGTTAGAGAAAGCCTAACAGAGCCTGGAATGGACAGTTAGTAGAAATACAAACTTTGAGGACATGGCTAGTGAGAGCTCCAACAGAAATGAGGAGTATGTTGCTGAAAACTGGAGGAAGGGGACCTCTGCTACACAGTAGCAGAAGGCCTAACCACACAGCCATTTGCAGGGATGCGGAAATGGGGAAACACGTCTAATGAACTGGGGGATCAAGCTGAGGGGAGTCACCAGAAGACTGTCAAGACACTGCCTGGTTTCTTCTTGCTGCGCAGAGTAAAATGTGAGAGGGACAGATAATTGAGGGTGTGCCCACAGAGCCTCTCAATCAAAAGTAAAGCCCCCAGGAACCCGAGCATGTACCTCTCGGCTGTCTGAACAGGAAGAAGGGGGCTTATTGGGAAGAAATTTGTGGGTGTCTTTTGTCTCATGGAGTGAACCGCAGTGAGATTCATAGGAGACCCACAAAGGTTTTGGGAGAATTATTTTAGCAAAACACAGGCAGCCTGGACTGAGTGGGGCAAGACACACAAAAAGGAAGGAGGCAGTTGGACTCCACAGTACAGGAAGCAGGCTGAGAAAATGACTCAGCTTCAAGCACGTGCTGCCTTTCATGAAAAGAAAAGATGAAACCGAGAGCCCAGAGGTTGGAGCCAAGAGTCATGGAAAATTACTCTCAGGCTTTAAGTTCTAATCAAGGAACAGCCAACACTTACCCAACTGGATTTCAGAACTGCTATGGGCCAGCGAATTCTGATGCCTTCCATTTCCCCTTTTCAATAGGAATGGCAACACCGTCATTGTTGTGTGTTGAATGTTGGGGGTGAGGAGGGACAGGTAACTTTCTTCTTTACTTTCACAGACCTACAGATTACAGGAACTACACCCAAGAAGCCTCATCCAGACCTAGACCTGACTTAGATGACTCCAGACTTTGATGCTGTAATGAGATGAGAGTTTGGAGGACTTTGGAAGGGGATGAATGTGTTTTGCATGTGAGAGGGTCACCAATCATTGGCAGCCAGAGGACAGACTGGCAGATAACTTCTGACCTGGCTCCCAGGGACCCTCACTTCCAGCATTCACACCCTTGTGAACCCCATCTTTTGGGGTGTGGGTTGGATTTAGTGTCCTGTTACAAGGACCAGAATATTGCTGCATAATAGAACTGAGGCACTGTTCTTTTTTACTTGGAATTTGAAATAATTTCAACCTGACAGGAAAACTGCAAGAACACAAATAATAGGAAGTAAAGACAAGAGCTAACCTAACGGCGAAGCTTCAGAGAGCAGGCACTTACCCGTCGTGCTGCAGTTCCACTGGGCTTTGGAGCCAGATGGAAGTGCATTAACACCCTGGCTCTGCTGCCCCGTGTAACAGCGAGCGAGTTGCTAATGTCTGAGCCTCAGTTTCCCTGTCTATAAAATAAGGATATTATACACACACACACACACACACACACATACATACATACATCTATTCCTTAGCATCGCGCCTGGCATTAATTACTTTCACTGGAAGCACCCACATCCTCTGTGTGCCTGAACTTGATGTGTGGCATATGATGTACCGAAGCCCCCACACTGGGGTGCCCCCGGGAAACCCACCCTCTTGACCTCCTCCTCTGCTTCCTCCATCTATTCAGTGAGTCCTGTAAATTGTGCCCCTTTCCCGTCACATTCTCACCTCTCCGCTCCTTTCTTCATTTCCTAGGAGAATTACTAGAGTAAAACCTAGCTGGTCAACCTGACCTCATTCTGTTCTCATTAAATTCTCCACCCTCTGGTCAGAATGATCGAAATGCGTTCATGTCTCACTCTCTCTGAAACTTCTGCATGGCCACAGCCTGTTACATGTTGGACACTGAACTTCACACACTTAATCCTCACAAGGCTGCAAGGCAGGTGCTTCCACATGAGGAATAGGAGCCTTCACGGGGTGGAGTTCCTTGCCCGGTGTCAGATGGAGGAGGCTGGGCTGGAACACCTGCTCCAAGCCTGAATTCTATCCATTATCCCTGCTCCCAAGCCGCGTAGGACGATGAGCAGCACCAGCTTTCATGTGAGTTGCCTCTGGCATCCCCAAGATGTGCAAAAACCATCTTCACTCAGGTCTTTATTTGTCCCTCATGCAAATCCTCCAAAGGTTACAGGGCAGTTGTTAGCCCCATTGTATTGGTGAGAAAACTGAGATTCAACAGACAATGTGGCCTGCCAAAGACCACACTGCAGACAGTGTGTGCATGACCCACATGTCGAGAGTCTCCCATGGCATCCAGTTCTTGGCTTGACCCTTCCTTGCCTAATCACTAGGCTGAACCATGCCTCCACCCCCTTTTCTCATACCCTTTACAACAAGGAGAAGCAGATCGAGCTGGAAGGAATGGAAACTCACACCACTCACCTGAGCTATCAAATCTCCATTTTCTGCGTGGACCAAGATCACAGCTCCCAGCCCCTTAAGGAAGGTGAAGGCTTCGTAGAGCTAAGGAGGGATAAACAGGGATTGGGGTGAGATAAAAATATCACAGCAGGAGCATTTGCAAAGACCATTTTTCTGCTCCCACGCGGTCATCCACCTGCCAGGTGCTCCATTCCTATCAATGGACTGTGCTGCTCAACAGGTAACCTTGGAAAGGATCTTCCCGTGCCCCCGACATCCTCCAGTTCCAAAAGCAGAAGGCTGCAGGTGGGGCACAACTGAGCAAAGACACACATGGCATGATCACACCCCGCATCTCAGTGCCTATTTGTGCCTTTGGCTTTCTCTGTGGTTTTGTTTCGTTGGAACACCTGTAGTTGCTGATGGTGACAACTGCTGCTAAGAAACTGTTTACAGTTTTATTGAAATTATGTAACTAAACCTGCTAAGCCTGTACCGTGGCCACCACATACCA